ATACAATTATATGTCTAATACCTAAAGTCAAATGAATAAAGTGGGGTAAGGACATGTATATAGATATATGTACATGTATATGTGTGTGTGTGTGTGTGTGTGTGTGTGTGTGTGTGGGAACGAAAAGGGGGGGGGGCTTACTCAACAGTGATGGTGGGTAACCTAAAAAAGCGGGCGTGTGAGCCTACAAGCCAAGATGGCGGAGTCTAGAGACCTACGACAAAATGGCTGAGAGGGGGCCACGCGTAACCACGTGGGACGGCACACAATGTGGGTTGGGACAATAGATTACTCGACCACGTGACTGAGAGGTTCGCCAAAAATCTGTGAATCTAACTATGTGTGTGCGTGTTAGTAGAGAGAGAGAGAGAGAGAATGAGAGAGAGTGAGAGAAAATCGAGCTCTGGCGGTGCTCTGCGCCGTAGTGAGGAAGTGAGAAACAGCACGCTTTTATGGTGATAGTTGCGGTTCTAGATCTCACTCACAGAGCCGATTTAAAGAGGAGAGAATAAAACCAAAAACAAAATAAAAGAATCCCCAGAACAAAACAGATCTTTGTCACTGCGGTGAGACGCGAGTGTTGCTCCCTTATCACCCCGAAACTCGGTCGGCGAGACGAGGGTCCGCCACCGTGGTTTTAGTCTTTAAAGTGATAAAATCACAAGCTCCACATCCACTAGCAGCGACGGATCTAATGCAAACAGTTAAAGCAGGAAATACACAATATCACGGGACTCCGTGGTCCACGATGCTTGCGCACTGACACGTTATAACACGACAGTAACTTAACACAACAAGATACAGGAATAACAACGACATAAACTAATAGTCTAAATTAAACTAAAGCTAAGCTAGGCTACGCTAGGCTAAGCTAGGCCCAGATACCAATGATACCCTTACATTGAGAAGCTTCGTTCGGTAGGATCTGGCTCCAGTGGTAGGAATCACTCTGTCCTCGAGGAGTCGTTGACTCTCGGTGGCACGGCCTCAGGGCTGGCGCAGATGCTGGGGGGGGGAATCACTCGGTCCTCGAGTAGTCGATGGCTCTCGGTGGCGCGGCTTCTGAGCTGGCGCAGACTCGAGGGAATCACTTGGTCCTCGAGTAGTCAATGGCTCTCGGTGGCACGGCTTCTGAGCTGGCGCAGACTCGAGGGAATCACTTGGTCCTCGAGTAGTCAATGGCTCTCGGTGGCGCGGCTTCTGAGCTGGCGCAGACTCGGCCTCCTCGCTGCAGAGAGGGGCTTTTAACTTCGGCTGAGAGAGAGAGAAACTCGTTCTTCTGCCGGCGGTGTGTACACAAAAAGGGTGGGGGAACGGGGCATAGAAGTTATCCGTTCTCGCACTACAGGATCCAGAACTCGAAAAAGAAAAACACAGTCTATAGTTCGACCACCGAATGTAACATGTGACCTGAAAGGATTTGATTAGGCAAGCGCTTCCTTGTGGATCTTCTTGTTACCAACGTGATGCCGGAGGGAAGAGGCCTTGTGGACCTCCTTATACCAGCATGTCTGGACGGAAGAGAGCGATTCTAGCTGTGCTCAGGCTTATGAACCAGGTAGCACAACCAGTGGGGGGGCCCTTTCTTGGCCAATGAGGGTCCAGCATCAGGTTTCTGCTGGAGCTGGGGGGGTGTGGTCATCTGGCATGAGGTTTCTTGCAGACCCCAGGTCAGGCGTTTTGGTGAAAGGAAGGAACATGGCTGCTCCTTTGTTTGAAAAGCACGTGTGAAGGTCTCAGCCAGCCAGGAGAGCAGGGTCAGATCCCAACAGTGTGAATTAAGAAAGAAGGCAGTGGAAGTGCAGCAGCTAAAAGTGAAAATGAATATATCTTATGCAGAAGCAGCAAAGAAGGTTCAGAGGGAGAGTAGAGTGGAGGGGGGGAACCGTCTCAACAGTCAAATGAACAACTTGTGACAAAGAGTCAAAGGGGAGATGGGAATGTACTGACGGTAAATAAGAAGAGCTTTGTGTATTTCATGGTGGAAGTAGTTAACTGCACATTCCAAGCAAAAGGCAGATCTGAGAAGATTGAAATATTGGCAAATGGCCAAGAATGTAAAGGTTTTCTTAATGGGTTAGAATATAAAGCAGATATAATATGTGTTGAAGAGACATGGCTTAAACCAAACTTAGACTTTGTGATTCAGGGATATGTGTGCATAAGAAGGGATAGAGAAGGGGGTAATGTGGAAGGATATGCTACCTTTGTTAGGCAAGGAATTTCTTATCGAGAAATAGAAAAAGGAAAAGACCTAGAATATGTAGTTGTTGAAGTGTGGTTAGGGGATGAGAGTTCGGTTGTGGTAATTTTTTACAATCCATGTCAACGATTGGAATTGGAAGCATTAGAGGCAATAAAGGGACTAGACAGAAGAAGGGTCATTTGGTGTGGTGATTTGAATGCGCATAGCACTCTCTGGGGAGGGGAAAAGACTGATAGGAATGGGTTGATAGTAGAGGAGGTGATGGACTCCTTGGGACTTGTATGTTTAAATGATGGGAGTTTCACAAGAGTGAAATACAAATCAGGTAATGAGTCAAGTTTAGACCTGACCATAGCATCATGGTCATTGGCAGGTATTTGTGTGTGGGAGGTATGTAAGCATTCTACTGTTGGAAGTGATCATTACCCCATTTTCTGTAGAGTAGGAAGAGGAAGCAGGGTGGGTTCAGAAGATACAGCAGACAGGTGGGTATTTGGAAAGGCTCAGTGGGATACATTTAGAGAAATGAGTGAATCAAGGTTTAAAGATATAGATAGAGAACAGGATATAGAAATATTTAATGAAAATCTGAGAGATGCAATAATTGGAGCTGCCAATCAGACAATTTTAAGGAAAACCGGTATAAAGAGGCAGAAGTTAGTTCCATGGTGGAATGATGAGTGCAGTGAGGTAATAAAGAAACGGAATAAGGCTTTTAAGGTTTTAAAAAACACCCACAATTTCAAAAATGTAATAGAGTACAAGAGAATGCAAGCAGTAGTACGGAAAACCATCAAAGAAACTAAAAGGAAGTATTGGAGATAATTTTGTAACACAATAGGGAGAAGCACTTCAATTAATCAAGTTTGGGGGATGATAAAGAAAATGAGTGGAGTAAAACGGGAGTGGGGGTATCCAGTATTGGAAAATGGCGGAGTGGTGGCTAACGATGATGAAGAAAAGGCAGAAATGTTAGCTAAAGCACTGATTGAGGTCCATAGTTCTGGTAATATGTCAGAGGAGGGTTTAAATGGAAGACATAGAACAAGTGAAGCAAATAAAGAATTGTTGGAAACAGATGAAGAGAGGGAAGATGCAATTAATGCTCCCTTCACTTTGGAAGAAATAAAAAGGGCCTTAAGAAAATCAGGGCTAAATGCTCCAGGTAAAGATCAGATTTGCTACATCATGATGAACCATTTGTCTGATTTAGCATTAGAGGTGATTTTGCAATTGTTTAACACAGTTTGGCAGGAAGGAAAATTACCAGGGCTTTGGAAACAAGCAGTTATAGTACCCATCAGGAAACCAGGAAAAGACCCCACTAATCCATCTAACTATAGACCAATAGCATTGACTTCCCACATGTGTAAAATCATGGAGCGAATGATCACAGAAAGACTAACATATTATTTGGAAACAAGGAATCTTAGGTCAAAGTATCAAAGTGGATTTAGAAAAGGAATGGATCTAATAGCATGTCTAGAAGCAGAGGTGAGGAAGGCACAAGTGAGTAAGGAGGTAGTGGTAGCAGTGTTTTTTGATGTGGAGAAAGCGTATGATTTACTGTGGAAAGAGGGATTATTAATCAAAATTAGAAAATTAGGAGTATCGGGTAAAATGTTCAGATGGGTTAAACATTTTTTGTTTGGTCGATCAATAGAAGTGAGAGTGGGAAGGTGTTTGTCGGCCAGCCATTTGGTGGACAATGGCACACCACAAGGAAGTGTGATTAGTCCTTTATTTTTCTCTATAATGATTGATGATGTATATGAAAATGTTGGACAAAATATAGGGAGATCTTTATTTGCTGATGATGGGGCACTGTCGAAAAGAGGTAGGAATGTGGAATATGTTGTGAAACAGATGCAGGAAACAATCAAAAGAGTGGAACAGTGGGCATTGGAATGGGGATTAGAATTTTCAGTGGAAAAACAAATACCCTTTTCTTTACAAGAAAGAAAATTGGAACAGAGGTCAAATTGTATTTATATGGTAAGGAACTGAAAAGGACGGACTCGTACAAATTTTTAGGAACGTGGTTTGATGCTAGGCTCACATGGAATGTACATATTGATAAAATAGTTAATAAATGTAAAAAGGTGTTGAATGTAATGAGATGTTTGGTGGGAACAGAGTGGGGAGCTGACAGGTCTGCTTTGAAAGCTATATATATGGGGTTGATAAGATCAGTAATAGACTATGGCTGGGTGGCTTATAGGTCAGCGTCTAAAACATTATTGGGAAAATTAGATGTAATACAAGACCAAGCATTAAGAATATGTAGTGGGGCTTTTAAAAGAACATCTGTGCCGGCATTGCAGGTAGAAATGGGGGAAATGCCAGTGGAGTTGAGAAGATTACAGATAATGATGACATATTGGGCTAGTTTACAAGGACATAACAACCATCCAACAATAAGTGCAATTGAGCCATGCTGGGAACATGCAAAAACGCTGACAAAGAGCTTTGGTTGGGTTGCTAAGGAGAAGGCTAGGGAATTGGGTATATTGGATAGGAGTTATTCTCTAGCTGTGGTTCTGCCAGCTATTCCTCCTTGGTTACTGCCACAACCTGAAGTTGATCTTGGCCTCCTTGAAGTAATGAGAGATGAATGTGGGGTAAACTGTAAGATATTCAAGTCATACATCAGGAGGAATTATCACAATTATATACAAATTTATACAGATGGATCAAAAGACCCCAATAATGGTAGAACAGCAGCAGCAGCAGTAATACCAGAATTCCAGTATGAGTGTGGGAAGAGACTCAGTGATGACTTGTCTGTGTTTGCATGTGAGATGATGGCCATAGTTATTGCGTTACAGTGGGTAGAGGACGTCAGGCCAGAGAGAGTGGTGATTGCATCAGATTCATGTGCAGTACTGACGAGTTTGAAATGTTGCCACTCCAGATGCAGAGAGGATTTACTGTATGAAATACTACAATCACTATTCAGAATCCGTCAAATGCGGATAGCGGTTAAATTTGTGTGGGTCCCTGCTCATGTTGGAGTCGATGGCAACAAGAAGGCGGATAAAGCAGCAAAAAAGGCTTTGAAGAGTGGGAGAAATATTGTTAAATTAAATATAAGTAAGTCAGAAGCTAAAGTGGTGATTAAGGGACAAATCAAAAAGATATGTCAGACTGAATGGAATAAAGGGAGCAAAGGACAATATCTGTTTAAAAATAAACCATTGGTTGGGAGTGCAGGATCTAGTGGACGAAATAGAAAAGAGGAGAGGGTAATGACAAGACTAAGGAATGGACATACTGGTCTTAACAGTTCCCTCTATGTTATTGGAAAACATAATAATGGAATGTGTGGATTTTGTGATGAAGAGGAAACTGTGGACCATGTTTTAGTGTCATGTCAGAGGTACGAGGTAGAGAGAGAAGTATTAAAAAGTGGTCTAAGAGAGATGGGAGAGGAGAATATAACTGATATATTAAAGAAAAGCTTTGGTGAAGAGTGTTGGAAGCCTCTTTGACTTTTTAGAGTCAACAAGACTAGTGAATAGAATTTGAGAATTATATTTATTTTATTTTGTTTTGTTTTATTTTATTTTGTTTTATTTTGTGTTTGTTTGTTTGGTTTTTGTATTAGATAATTACTTTCCTTGGTCCACACTCCAGATTAGTGGGTGGCGGTAATGCACCTAAAAGTTGTTTGCCAACCTCCATTAAAAACAAAAGAAGAAGAAGAAGAAGAAGAAGAAGAAGAAGTAGTAGTGTTGCTGATGAGCTCAGGTGTTTCCACTCCGCTGATGACCCTCCGCCACGACCACCTCCAATACCTGCAGGGAGAGCAGCCACACGAAAGGAGTAACAGGCAGACAGGTCATCACAGTAATAAAGAAACATCTGACCCATTGCAACAGTGAGGCTCATTGATTTTGCAGTACTAGTTTGTAAATGCATTCATTGTTAGTTTTGGATTTTATGAGACTTGTTGATGGTAAGAAAAAAATGGAATATCACCAGCCTTAACCTTTAAAAAAATGTAAAAAATGTTTTTGGTCATTTACCTTTAACATCTTTTATGTACTGTACATAATTATCAATTGTTGAGCAAATATGTTTAGTCTTTTAACATTGTTTACTACATTTTACATTTGCACCACTGTAGTAGTCCACCATTGCCCTCTTTGTCTTTGGCACCATGTTCATTTACGGTCTACACTGTTGGATTTGCAGGCACACTAATTAATGCGAGATTGTTTTTCTCTAATGTAGACAATACATGTGTTACAATGAAGAGATGTGATGATTGGAGGGCCAGTATCATCCCATTACCACAGCACAGCTCATGAAAGTACTATTCCTTTGTGTTGGTTTCTATAGCTACCCTATTAGAGACTCAGCTGGCAGTCAGCTGTCTTTTGTGTTTGTCACTGGCCTCTCTGGCCTCCACTTACTCTTTGAGTTCTTTTTGCTGGAGCTTTAAAAACCTCCTCTGCGTTTAGAGTGCAGTGGGTAGAGTTAGGGTACAGCAGTCATATGTTTGGGATTTGTGTATTTTTTTTTTTTTGTATCCAAGATGGAGAGGTCAGCGGATGCAGGTGGTCTGGGAATGTCTGGTCACCGTCAGCACTCCGGCACGGTGAAGAGGAGGCTGTGGGGAGGTTTGAGGCAGCAGTGGAAGCTTCTGGGCTTGTTTGAGATTGATCAGCAGCATGAGTTCTACAGCCTGACCTGCATGATGAAGGAGGGATTGGCAGCAGCCACCCAAAACAACATTAACAATGCACCTACAGTGAGTACGGGTCAGCAGAGGCACCATTTCCATCACCTACATATATGCAATATTTAAAATCTACCCACTTAGTATTCAAATGGAAGTATAGTATTAAGAGTTGTAATATTACAGGCAGGGCTTTACTTTAACTGTAATAGGGTATCAGTCATTGTGCATTAAAACTAGATTGCAAGTTTGCAAGTAAAGTTCCATAAATGAAAAACAAATAAGCTTTGATAAATTCCCCTCCTTTTATGTGGATGTCCAATCAGTGTTGGTGGTAACTGTAGTTCACTGAAGAAATACATTCCAGGGCTGCTATATTGACAGAGAAAGCTGATCTCTCCGGCCTACATGTACCAGGATGCATTGCGCAAGCAGCTATTTCACTACGGCTAATGAATAAACACAATGTTAATGAATGAAATATTCTTACACCTAAATAGAAAAATACAACCGTACATCTTCTGAATTTAAGTTTCTCATTTAAACTGAACTACAACAAGCTTAACTGCCTTGTTAACTCATCATAAAACACACTTCAGTCAAACTGGTTAAAAATACATCCTTAACTCACAGAGTAAGATGTGAAAATATGGTGGATCTACACACTGTTTTCTCCTGCTGTCTCTGCCGTGGACAGATGCCCCGCTGCAGTGGCTCGTTGGCAGCTCCAACTCCTTCGTCAGAGGCAGACCACTAAATCAGCTAAATGATTTAGCTGATTTAGTGGTCTGCCTCTGACGAAGAGACATTTTTGCCATTGTATTTAGCCTAAATACAATGACAAAAATGTCTCTTCCAGTTTATCTTCGGGATCCTGAAGAAGGTCTCCAGCACAACTCTGTCCCAGAGAGGAGGAAAACATCACCCGAAACACGGTTAAAACTTCATTGTCAAAAATCCTTGTCCATAAAATCCTCTGCACTGATTATTTGGGAAGCCATTTTCACGGTTGGAAACATAACACAAGAGACGAGAACAAGGAAGTTTTAGAGCAACGTTTTGCCCAACAGCTGGCAAAGATGAGAGTAGCACTCTGTAGTTCTTCCTCATACCAAGAACATCACCGGGATGAGGGAGAGCAACACATTTTGCAGGTGCGCCCTAGAGACACAGAGAACATCAGTAACAGGCGTTATATAACTGACTCGGATAGATGGAGATAAGGTTGAAAATCTGCAAATTTTCCTTTTTAATAGCTTAGCCTACTCCAATGAAAGAGAACAAAGCAAGATCAAATCAAATCATAGATGCACAAAAACAAACATTATGATCAGTTCATCTTGGCCTTCATAGCAACATAGATGACATTTGGTTTTTGATATGAGGAATACTCGAGATATTACAATAATACAAAAGCTAAAAATAACTTAATTTGAAAAGTACTTTTTAAAACAAAGTTACAAAGTGTTGCTGTGTGTTGTAACTTAAAATAAGACCCCCAGAGTCCAACCGAGCTGAGTGTTAATAATAATAATAATCTTTCTTTATATAGCACATATCGTATAGACGATGTAGCTTCAAGTGCTGTACATTTAAGAAATAAAAACAAAAAACCTTCCTTTTACAGAAGATGCTTTTTGCACATACATTTTAGGTGCAATTAATACATTTCAACAGATAAATAAAAACTGGAAAACATTTTACATTTAAAATGACAAATGCATTGACATAAAAGTGTTTAAATGCATAAAAGATAATTTGAAAGACAGATGTGGGACTCTGTGGACTGCACATAAAGTGCTGTTTAAAAAAGAATGGCTTGGCGAAATAGATATGTTTTTATATGATGCTTTAACAGAGGTTGCCTCTAATATTTTGGGGTAGGCTGTTTGGGAGCGTAAGTGAAATGATCTCTTTTGACGAATAAGAAACCAGCAGTGGAGGATCTAAAGGTTTGTTTAGAGCTTTGTACACAAATAAAAGGACTTTCAAATCAATTCTGGAGGCTATAGGCAGCCAGTGCAGCATAGCTAAGACTGAAGTGATGTGTTCTCTCTTTTTTGTTCTTGTTGGCAGTCTAGCAGCAGAGTTTTGGATAAGTTGCAGCCTCTCAATAGATTTTTTAGGAAGACCAGTAAAATGTGCATTGCAGTAGTCTAGTCTACTTGAGATGAAGGTGTGCAGTCATGTTTCTGTATCTTGCTGTGTCAATAAAGGCTGTACTTTCGCAATGTGTCTAAGATGGAAGAAGGCCAGTTTGGTCACTTTATTATTTTGGGGCACAAAAGTTAAGTCAGAGTCTAAGGGTACATCCCACAGTCTCTTAATGTCATCCCCGTTTCCCTCACTTGCGTCCTTTCCTTGCGTCTTAGTCCCTCCCACCAGGGATACATGGAGAGATGCAAGGAAACCATGCGAGGAGAGAGGAAGCATTTTTTAAGAGATATGAGACGTCCTTTCCTCAGTTGTGTCACGTGAAGCGATGTTTGTTTCTGATGACAGCGGCCACTGATCACAGCTGATCACAGCACAACTCCTGATCCGTCAGCAAGATAAGGCCGAATCAGCTGGTAGAAGTTTAAGTCAAAAGTATTTAATAATTAACAGAAGCTAAAACAGTTACAAACTGAATCACACTATGAATTACAAAACAAATGTATATATTTCATGAAATAGAGGCCCAATCCGCACCACACGACAGACTGGTGTATCTGCCCCATGGTCCGGAGGAGGTCTGATTATCTCTGGGGATTCACAGTTTCTTTGTCCCTCCAAAGTCTCTGAAATGTCTCATATTACACATTCCTTCGCCCATCGATCAGCTCAATGATTGGCAGAAATTCAATAAGTTCCTCCTTGGCCTTTGACCTGTTGTTCTGGTCAGACACCCTTCCTTGCAGCCAGCTTTCGTCCATCCCCCGCTCTTGGCACATACCTCACCCCCCTCTCACAAACACTCAATATATTCAATGACCACACTCCATGGTTTAAAACTTCCATAAGTAACTTCAATATAATATCCACCACTAGGGTGCTATTAAACATACTAGGAATGCTTTTAAACTTAAATTCCTCACATATTGCAGCATCAGTCATGGACAGAATGGGACCAACTTTGACAATGTTTCACAAGTGGAAATATGCAGTGTCAGTAATAATATTGATATTTTCTTCAAAGGAAAGACTAAAATGAAATTGTGGAACCAGCAAAGTTCAGAGTGAGATCACAGTTAGCATTTAAATTTTTTTTGGCATTTCAATAGTACGCAGGTGAATATATGAATGAAGAATATAATGGTGAACATCAATCAGTCAAACTTCATCTGTATTCCATCTTTTTTACAGGTTAGTGTAAAATAACGGTGCTTTACTGATGACTGACAAGCTGACATTAAGACAGACAAAATTAAATAATAAAACCAATTAAAGCTGCAAGCAGCATTGATTGGGCCCTCGCAACTTCACGCACGTCGAGGGTACTGAAAGGACTCTGGGTGACGCGGCCATGCATTTCTGTGACCATCACACTCTGCGTGCACGAGTTAGATATTTCCTGCGTCGACCAGCAGCGTAGCAAGATCATGTTGCCAGGTCTTAAGCCTGAAATGTTTTGAGTGTACCTCCGATACAATCATAGATGTAAGCCTTTAAAGTTCATTCAGAAAATCAATGTGTGTGAATGTGCTTCAGTGTTTGTAACATAACAGACTGTCAGTTTACTGGGATGGGGTTCAACTCCCTACAGTGTCCTGCTGATTGTATTTGGACTTACATGAAAGTTAACAAAACAGTAGTGCCATTTGCTATGTCAAGTTTGGGACAGTTTTGACAAAGTACAGTCGAGTTACAACAGCTTGATGGATGATGGTGAGCCATGTAAAATGGCTGCCACACCATATCCACGTCGTTCGATGAAACCTAAAGCTTTTAGTAACTTTTAATCACAAAGGTCTTTAGATTGTTCTGACTAAATTCTAAATTGATCTGATTAATTCCCTAGGAGGAGTTCGTAAAAGTACAGCACCTGGAAATTGCAAAAGAAACACGTTTAATTCATACAAAATTCAAAATGGTGGACTTCTGGTTGGGTTTAGAGCATGGATCCCTAAGGCGTTTTTTAAGTCTACATGTGATACATCTGCTTACCAAATTTTATACATCTAGGTGAAACGTACTGCGAGGGCTGCATCGTCGAAATATTGTAGGGGGCGCTATCGAGCCACTCTGAAGCATTAAACTCACATCAGATAACTACATTCAGATTGTAAATGTGTGTGACATGTTTGATTATGTTTTGAGCATTTTTAGCCCCTCAAAAACACCTTAATTTTTCATTGCGAAGAATGCGTCGCCACGGCATCGGCGTTTGACGAAACATCAAAAGCTTCATGAACTGGCATTATGAACTTCTTATATTTGTGTGGAACTAATTTGATGTTGATCTGATTTACCTACTAAGAGAAACAAGCCAAAGTATAATGACTAACTTCCTGTTACCTGTAGGTGGCGCTATGACTATGATTGAAAATTGGCCTGCAGATGTCTTCAGGCCTGGAGTCTAATCAAACGTGAAATCTGGTAAAGATCTGACGATGTGGAGTCGAGTTACATCAGTTTATTCATTCATGGCGAAGGATTGAAATTCGCCGAGCCGCCACGTTGCTGCCCTTCGACAACTTCTTACAATCTTCACAATGAAGCATTACCAAGGTCTTAAGGCTGTTCTGACAACATTGGAGAGGGATCTGATTAATCTGTGAGGAGCAGGATGTCAAAGTACAAAATGTACAACTTCCAGTTGCCACTAGGTGGCGCTATTACTATGATTCTAAATTGTCTTATAGATGTGTTCTGAGTCAAGATGTTATGACATATGAGAGATTTGGAGCAGATTCGACAATGTACGGCCGTTATAACAACTTCCTTTTTCATGGCGAATGGTGTTTTTTTGCCGCCACGCCACGGACACATAGTTCCATAACTTTTTGATCTTTGAGTAACTTTTCACTGCCAAGGTCTCAAGAGCATACTGACCAAATCTGAAGTCGATCGGGTTAAATCTCTGGGAGGAG